TTTTTAATCATGCGGTTTTGTTGAGTGCACTATTTGTACTGACGCTAATACTTTATATTTAGATTCTAGACAAAAAATGTGACCATCATTAAGATGAATTTGGGCGGTAATGTCTAGATTTTTAATTTTGGCTGATTTTTTGAACTTAATTTTTTTATGTAAAGCGTTTTAAAAAGTTGGTATTATTATTAGTTGTGATTATATGTAATCATGTACGTACGTACAGTATATCCTCCAAAAGTTTATCACGGTTACACGAAACAACTTAATTTATGCAAATGTGTAATATACGAAAATTGTGAAAATATCTGAAAAGATAATGTTCAGCAACGAAAACCACAACCAGGAACATACAGAGCGTTGAAAACAGCACTTTAGAGAATGGAATATGCTTGATAATCAATTTTCGTGAACTTAATAAATAGTATGCAAATCGTATTGCCGAAGTTATTGCTAATTGAGGTTATGGTAGTAAACACTGACACATTTATACTGCTGATAACACAGACAATAACCAATAGAAATTTGGGGCGAAATATGAAAATCCTTAATGGTCCCCATTTTTGTAATACAATGACAGTATTTAATGATTGACGAGTTACACACCTTTTTTAACTTTAATGGAAATCAACGATACCTTAATACTAAACTGGACACCGTTTTTCGGTGAACAAACCTGGGAACATTATCGTATAGATTATTGCGGTTCAGATTTACCACCATGTCTTATAACACATAATCCTACCTATTTAATTCAAAGTCACTTACTAGTATTTCATGCTCCGGACATGAATTGGGAGGAGTTACCTGATAAAGAGATCAGAAATATATATAATAATAAAATACCCTGGGTTTATTATAGTGCAGAAGCACCAGCTCGCGAATGGGAATTTGATGATGATAAGATGAAAATGTTTGAATTTAGGTACGCATAAAAGTTTTGATATGTACTTTAATAATTGTCGGAGATGATGCTGAAATCGGATGATGCTGAAATTTGGGGTCTTAATTTGAAAATATAAACCCTACTAAAATCCACCTATACCTTTTTATTATAAACACTAACCCTAACTTCTTGTCGAACTATGAAAAAAAAGCTGAACAAACACCCACAAAAAATTTTAATTTTTCATAATAAAATAAGTCAAATTTCAGCATCATCCACGACAATAATTAATTTTAAATTCAATTGAATTATTACAAATTATTACATATCATATAGCCTATCATACCGTCTTGATTCTGACTTTCCGTCAACTTATCTGGATGAAGATTTGACAACAATAATTAGATCTCCAAGTTATCAATTTAAAGATCGTAAACAAGTTCCAGTGGCATGGGTTGTTTCAAATTGTCATGCTTCAAACGGTAGACATTATTATGTCAAGGAGTTATTAAAATACATTGACATAGATATTTATGGTAAATGTATTAATAATCAAGAAATGCTTGATCGTAAGTGTCTAATTCATAGATAGATAATGTATTTAATTCCCATCATCTTAACCTTATTATTGTAAATTCAATTATAAAAAAAAAACAATTTACTAACACATTTCTTAATAAATAATCTTCCGATAGCGACAATAAAGATCTCTGACTTGATTAAGCAATATAAATTTTACCTTGCCTTTGAAAATTCAAACTGCGATTATTACTGTATGTGACTGAAAAGTTGTTAAATGCATTTATCGCAGGTGTTGTTCCTATAGTAGACGGTCCATCTGATTATACACCATTTGCACCTACAAATCATTCATTGATCCAAATTGATCAATTTTCATCACCCGAAGATCTGGCTTCTCATATTCTGTCACTTTCAGAAAATGAACAAGCATACACCTCATATTTATCTTACAAAAATAATAGTACACCATTATCAGAGGAGTTTGTTAAATATTGGCAAGGTTACAATCATCAAACCGGTATATTTGGTTATGACTTTAGAGGTGGAAGGTGTAAGCTTTGCAAACTTGCGAATCAATTAAGGAACTTTAATAATAATAATTCTAGTGCCAATAATTTATTCAAGGATATATTTGATGATGAAATAAAACCAAAAAAACTTTTATATGCAGATCGCAGCTGCATTTTTGGGAAATATAATAAATATTGGAATCCATTTTTTATGCCTGATAATCAATAAGCATATTCTGTCTACTTTATCATGCTTATTATTATAGTCGGATTTTGTGTTTGGGTTTTAAATAGGATTATTTTTAGGAAAAGGATAGATAAAGGGTGATCTGGACAGCTACTTTGCGAAATTTTAAAATTTGTAATAATTAGCCCAATTATGAGCAATATAAGTGTACATTATTGGATAGTTAATATGACCATGTGAAGTTTTTTCTGTGATATTTTGCAAAACTGATTACGTAATTTCATGTAAAAAATATCATGGCAAAAAAATTCACATGATCATATGAAATGTCGAATAAATTGCATTATTAGTACTATTTTATAGCAATTTATGTAACAATTATACAAAATTATTTCATTATTAGCACTATTAAACACTTAATATAGATATCTGCGAGATATCATGTGCAAAATCATGATCAGAACTTAACTAAATACTTTAAATGCAAAAGTAGTACTCGACAAAATCAAGCAAAAACTTGATAGTCAAATACCTGTGATTAAGTCGGTCATCAAATAATGCTACATATATATGTATAGATAATAATAGTGATTACTATTATGGATATGTATGTATATATATATGTATTTATATAGCTGATTGATTAAAATTATCTGACGTCTAACCTAATCGCAAGATTTTGGCTATCAAGTTTTGTCGAGTACTTTACTTATTTTAACCACAGTTCCTAAATAATTACCATTTTGACTTGATATATTCTGTCAGATTTGTCCAAATCTGAAAATTTTTAACTTGTTTTTTTGCTGTTTATATATAGACTGAAGTTATTTTGTGTATACTCTTCTTTTACTTAGTACTGTGAACTGTTTCTATAGCAAAATTTGTGTTTTGTTAATATTTTGTTTATAATAAATTTGTGTACAAAGGATTAGCAGAAAAAGTTGGGATGAAAAATAATTAATTAATAAATTTACTATTTAAAATTTACTATTTAAAATTTACTATTTAAAATTTACTATTTAAAATTTACTATTTAAAATTTACTAATTTTTATTTTGACTAATGAATGAGTAGCACATAATATCATATATAAACTAGAAATTTATATAAAAAATCTTAAGCATATCTAATATATAATAAGCAAACTACTATTATTATTATAATAAATTAATTTAGTCTATTAATAATAATTTTTTAAAAATTAATTATTACAAATATTTTATATTAACTATCTAGGCTTAATGTTACTATAATAATATTCTAATTAGTTTCTATTATGTTGAAAGTTTATTATAATAAAAATTAACTATATTTAAATTTTTTTTTAATATTTAGATAAGGTCATACCTCTGGTTTTTTTATTAATATATATTTATTACAACATGTTCTTTATATATATATTAACACAGAACTACAAAGACTTAGACTAATTTATCTATTATCTAAATCTACTAGAATGGTCTATGCCTCACATATATATTACTTAGCTTTGCACTTTCTAACTAACTATTTCTAGTATTACTATATTCTTCTCACATCTTACAACACTAGTTATAACTTTCAATTTGGTGTATTAGATATCTGCTTCTAATAAGCATATAATTTGGTATATCTGTAAATATAGTCTACTGCAAATTTTGTTATAGATTCTATTAGTACAACTATGGTTGATATAGTAACTTTTATATAGTCTATGCTTTAAGCCAAAAACTTGCTATTTAGTTAGATTTACTATATAACCAAGTTGGTATTGTATTGACAGATTAAGATTTATCTTGGCTTTGTACTAACTAGAATTATACTAATTTGTATTCTTTCATTTTCATAAATATCTAATCTTTTCATCTATTTGTTTATATACTACTAATCTGTATCTCAAGCCAAGTTTTTGCTACTACTGCTAGTTTGTCAACTCCAGAACTTAATATTCTTTTTTAGTATAGTAGTGTTTTTAATCTATTTGTACTTTCTTATATAGTATATTACTAGAACATATTTTATAATACTGCTTTAATAATCTATCTTGTTAATAACTAGCCTAATACCACAAAATTTCTTAAGTAGTATGCAGCTCTAATTAAAATTTTATAAAAAATTTTTTACTAAAATATAAAAGATAGTTTTTAATTAAAATTTAAAATATAATTAATTTTTAAATTTTCATTATTTTTATTATACAAAGAAGTAATTTGCATATTATATCTGATTTTAAATTTTAATTAGTCACAATACTCTAACAAAATTATTATATATTTATATTTTATATTTTTAGTCTCTTAGAAGACAATATAAATACTCTTTCTGTAAATTACTTACACAAAACAAATTCTAAAAAACTTCAAAACAAAAATAACTATAACTTCTTGAAATACTAAGCAAACCTACTTTGGTACTCTAAGTAAACTTGTTCTGCTATTTATTTTAGGATATTGTTAAATATTGCAAGTTGCTATATCACAGGTTAATATAATCAACCAATTAGATCACAGGATCTTGTATAACAAAAATAAATGAAAAATTAGAAAAAATTAATAAAAAAGTCAAAATTTTAAAAATCTCGAAATTTCATTATATAAACTAGTCTTGGGCTTCTAATCAAAAGTTTTCAACACTTAATTTTGCATATATTTATATATTCTAACTTTAATCCAAATACTACCTCGAACTCTAACCCAACTAATAATAATTTTAATTTTTTTTATATATTAACCTGTGATATCACAACCTGCTAAATTTAACAAAAATCTTATTTTACATATAACACAGAAGTTTTAAAATGTCAACTTGCAAACTCACTACATTATTTACAAAAATCTTCTAAAAATACAAAAACTTACAAATTTAAAGTTTTCTTAAAATTATATTAAGTCAACTACTTACACTCCTTAATAAAAACCTATTCAGCTCCTCTATACAATTTTTCTGATATATAATATATTACAAATGAACTCCAACTTATGAAACTATAGCTAAAACTTTTTTATCTCTTCTCTTGCTATTTACTCTAAATTGTACTAAGTCAATCTCAGTTCTCACTTAAGACAAATTTGTTCTACTCATCAAGACAAATATTTTAATATATAATACGTTACAAATGGACCAAAATTGATGATTTTACATTAAGAAAACTTCAAACTTACTTGCCAAAAAATGTACTTTTAGTTCTAAAAATTTATTGGCAATTTTCTGAAATCCTATTGGCTTGTTCCAGAAATTTCACTTTTGTGCACCCATTAAAATTTCCTAGAACCCAACAAATTCCAAAAATTTATTCACAAAACTTGGAAAACTTACTGGTCTTTCTAAAATTTCACTACGTATATACTATACTCTTAACAAAAAACATACAATATCTCTATATTTCAGTCTAGGATATTACCAAATTTGAATATTGCAGATCATCCCTTTTTTGTATAATTAGAAATTTCGAGACTTCTATTTAAGTCTATGACTAGTCTATGAAAATCCTTAAGGCTAAATTTACATCAATCACTATTTGTTTTCTTATTTGATAAATAACTACTTTTTAAAACCGTTAGGATCATAGCAGATTTTTAGACTACATAGTCATAGGACAATTTATATTAAAATTAATTTGAGGGTTTATTGTTAAATGATTTTTTTTTTTTAAAAAACAAAAATATTATATAAATTGGTTCTAGAATAGTCTTTTATTAATAGTAGATCAATTTCTATATTTGGTAATATACGAGACTATATTTTACTATACAAACCTTACTTGGCACTCTAATTAAACTTATTTCTAACATAAAAATACACTTTATATTAAAACTTTAAATTAATATCTTCCAAATTCACTTAAAAATAAACCAACTTTCAACAAACTTTTCTTTTTATATCTAAAATCTATCTAACAAAAATCAACTATATCTTTATATTCTACTAAATAAACCTTATTTGATACTCTAAATAAACTTGATCTTGAGACTAAAATATACACAATATTCAAATTTTAAATTGGTATCTTCTGGACTTATCAAGAAAATTAACAAAACATCTCATATAATTAAATCTTATTTTCAAAGTTACTTTACAAAAACTATACTATAACTCAAAAACCTACTAAGACAATCTCTCTTAGTGTTCTAAGCAAACTTATTTTTTACATCAAATTATATATATTCTAAAAATTTTTAAACTAAATATCTTAAAATTTACTATCCTAGTTAAAAAAAATTTATATATTTCAACGCCAATTTTCTCACTACTAGCTTGTTACCCACCTGACCTCTAGTAGTAACTCCTCTAGTACAAACCTGAAACAACCTCTCGATTGGTTCAAACACTTCCTAGTCTCAACAACAAATGGCCTTTTTCTATATACTCAGTTAACAATTCAAATAATAAACTTCTTAAAGCCCTTTTTTAAAAACTTCTACCTGGGTTCAATTGTCTAGCCTAAAACAGATGACAAACCAGCTTTTAAGAATAACTTTGACTTTCTAATTCATACAATGGCTCTTCAAAAACCTAAATTTATCATGAACTTCATTCAAAACCAAAACCCTCAAGTTACTGAATTTATAGATATTCTCTTTGAAATTATTCTTGAAACTTTTAAAAAATCACTCTTAGTAATTACTACTATTCTTTTTAAATACTCCAACTACCCAAAAATATTTAACTTCTATCTTTTTATTCCTTCTTACTCTATTAAGAAATAATTTTAAATTATTATTAATTTGGCCAGACTTTATCTTTTTTTTACTAATCGATATCAAACTATCGATCACCAAAAATTTTTTCAAGATTTAAAACTTAAACAAATTTATTTACGAACTTTCTTCCACATTAACCAAATTCAAGATACAGATATAAATACACCTATATTACAAATTTACAATATCTCTAAATTTCATATCAATTTTTCTATAAACATATATATACAAAAATTCTTAATGACTTACTGCATTCCTTCTTTTTCTTTATACTCAACAGAATTTAATAAGTAGTTTCAAAATTTTTTCAATATTACAAAAAACAATTTAACACTATTAATAAACAAAAAGTTTATAATTATA